GAGTGTGGTCATCCTATTTGTATAAATGTATCACTCTTCCATCAGAAACTAGAAATATGAAATATAACTCTGAGGGCCTATTGTAATTATGCAAAGTGTGGGCCATTAATGGTGGTTTGGAATCTTGATGGCTCCCATTAACCAGGACAATTGACTGTAGATGGCTCTGTTTTACTTGTAAGTCTTCCTATATACGTGTGTGCTGGCAAGTGGGTAATGAAGTCTTACAGTGACATGTGATCATGTCACCTGAACTGGAATCCATCTTTAACCTGGTGCTTTTCCATTGAGAAGGAGGGGGTGGGAACCCAGAGAGGGACAAAGGATTCCCGCCTTATGCAAAAGATATATAAGTGGGTGGAACAGAACAAAAGAGGCAGCCATCATGAGAAATCCCCTAGCTACCACCTGAGTTGGAACGAGGGCTGTACCAGGGGAAAGGATTGTGCCCAGACTAGGAAGGCGTCCAGTCTGTGAAAGAAACTTATTGAAACATCTCTGAGGGTGAGATTTTATCTGTATTCAGTTTTATTACTGTATTAGGCTTAGACTGGCGTGTTTTATTTTATTTTACTTGGTAATTCACTTTGTTCTGTCTGTTACTACTTGGAACCACTTAAATCCTACTTTCTGTATTTAATAAAATCACTTTTTTACTTTTAATTAACCCAGAGTATGTATTAATACCTGGGGGGGGAGAAAGCCATGCATATCTCTCTATCTGTGTTATAGAGGGAAAACAATTTATGAGTTTACCCTGTATAAGCTTTATACAGGGTAAAATGGATTTATTTGGGGTTTGGACCTCATTGGGAGTTGGGCATCTCAGTGTTAAAGACAGGGACACTTTTTAACCTGCTTTCAATTAAGCCTACAGCTGTTAGGGGATGTGGTTTAGACCTGGGGCTGGGTTTGCAGCAGGCTAGCGGGTCTGGCTTAAACCAGGCAGGACACTGAAGTCCCAAGCTGGGAAGGCAGGGAAAGCAGGGGCAGAAGTAGTCTTGGCACATCAGTTGGCAGCCCCAAGGGGGTTTCTGTGATCCAACCCATCACACATCCTTCCTGGCCATAGGCTTAAAGAATTGAATAGAGATTGTCAACAAAAAATTGATCAACCACATCAATAACACTTCCTTTTTCCCACTTTTTGTGTGATTTGTGTATGTAGACTGTAAACTCTCTGGGGAGGGTGGAGTGTTATGTGTACGCAGGGTGCCTAACACACTGGGACCCCTTTCTCAGTTGGGGTCTTTAGATGCAAACAATTATTGATAATGATAATAATCCTAGATCTCAAGAAACTGCATGATGAAATAAATGACTTACCCGGGATATACCAGAGCTGTCAATCTATCTAAGTATTTTTATGCTCCTCCTCACCCTCCCCTCCCCCCCCCACCCCTGCATCCCAATCACCAGGGCATCTGAGTATCTCACAAACTTTAATGTATTTAGTGTATTTTACAGATAGGGAAACTGAGGCACAGAGAGGTTTGTTTGGTTTTTTTAAACGACTTGCTCAAAGTTACACAGAAAATCTAGAGCAGAGTCATGGAGGGAACCCGACTCGCCTGAGTCCCAGCTGGTGTGTTACCACAAGACCATTCTTCTTCCTATTCTAGGTCACTGCAAGAACTGAGTTTTATGGCATCGGGGACATTCTGGCACCTGGTGACAAACTAGCCCTGTGTGGGCATGATTAAGAATATCTTTATATTCATTTTATATTTATCTACAATGAAAGCTGTACAAGAGACCAGCCTTCCCAGGCAGCCACCTGTCTTGGAAGGTAGCCCCCAAAATATCTACAAATGTCTGGCGTACACGTCTGCTCCATCTTCGGGTGTGTCTGCACCAATCAAGGAGAGGATGTGAGTCCCAGCTCAAGTTGAAAACTTGCAGGAGCTCTCATCAAGCTACTGTGCTAAAAACTAGCCGTGGCAATGTGATTGGCGGGATGGGCTAGCCACGCCGAGTATGTACCTGTTCGTGACCCTAGGCGTGTACTCAGGACAGCCAGCCTGTTCTGCAGCTCATTATCCCACAGCTGCCGTGTTAGCTTGATGAGAGCTAGCATGAGTATGTCTCCTTGATCTGGGACACACACACACACCCCAGCTTGAAGTGTAGACATACCCCTTATTAGAGGACCACCTATTTTAAGCAATAGATGCTTGTCAGCGCTTTGAGTGGTCACTTGACAGATTTCACCATATTTGTTGAATGCCTCCATGTAGGTTGGCTAGCTTGGTTTCTGTGGCACGCATTCCTACGCTGAGCTAAGTTTCATTTTGCCTGCACGGATTGTCTTTAACAGACCATTGTTGTTAATACTCGCTGTAAATGTACAGAGACTGCACTTTGAGATACCCAAGATACTGTGCACATTGCATTTGATTTGCTAGCAGCAGTTATAAGACATGAGCCGGAAGCATAGAAAGATAGTGTGTTTGTCCCTGTGGTATATTGCTCTGGTGGTTTTGTGGCAAATTTATCATCCTAAACATTTGTTCTGTCACTTTGGTCTGCTGATGAACATAGGACTATCACCAATCTGCCAACCTTTAGCAGTATGTGGTCTAATGGAATCCACCCATGAAGGGTCTCAATAAAGTTTATACAGTTGAATAAACTTTATTGAGGCTGTTTAACAGACTGACTCCATAGGAACTTAGGACACAGTGGGAGAGATCAGTAACAACACAGCTGGTACGGGACTAGATCAGTGGACTCAAAGAGACTGGGGATTGTAATTTTACCTGTTGCTACCATTAGACAACTAGAGCAAACAAAACATAAGTGATAGAATGCCATGCCAGGGGGACTCAAAAATGTTTTTTGCCTGTGTACTAGCAATATGTTCTTGAGTCATCATCGGCTCTTCCATTCTGTCTGCTGGGATTCAGTTCAGAATCTAGTGCTGTCAATAATCCCATTTCAACGGTTTTAATTAAAAATGGCAAATATATGACCAGCTTCTGGCTAGCGTACTGTCTCCCATCCCCTTACTGGACACATGTGCCACTACGTACTGCAAAATCTACCCCGTGCCATGCTGCTTGGGTTAGGAGGCTAATCTTTACAGGCAGCAAAACAGAAGAGCATGTGGTAATATAGCCTTCTACAGTATGCCCTGGAGAGGGATACATAAAACTAAAATAGCTACTTAAAGCCACTTATAAATGACAGCCACTGTACGGACTACCTTGAGTGCTTAGTTTATAAACAATTTAATAATACAGATTATAAGTAAATAGTGCCTGCTAAGTGCGGATAAATCAACTCAGGATAATCTATCAGTACAGAATGTCATTAAATTAAAGTTCAGCTACATACTTTCCTATACATACAATGTGCTACATTGTCAATTCAGTTTTTCCTTTGAAACAATCCCCACCCCTCACCAGCTTACTCTTGAAAACTCCAAAAGTAATGAGCATAGTTTAAATGTTAGGCATTTTTCTTTAAGACATCTGGGAATCTCTTCAGTGGCTGTCACTGAAGTCAGTGTGCTCACATCAACAAGCTGATGCTTCCTATGTGGGAAAAGGGATTTTGACAGAGGTTAGTTTGGTTCTTTTTAATAAATTTCTTTAATCTTCAGATATTTTGCCAGAAACTTTTTGGCCCTGGCAGATTGTTAGGGTCTCTGCTGTTTTTGTCTAGCGCATTTTTGGTATTCAAAATAAAAGGGGCGGATAAATACCTCTCAAAAGTCCCTTTTGTCAAGAGACATCACTCATTTTAGTCCCAGATTTACCTGACCTGCATTCCGCACATATTTGGTGTCCCCTCACTTTTACTGCTGGAAATAATTTACATCAGAAAAAATAATGAACCTGAATTTATAGAAAGTGACTGACCCTAAAGGAGGGAATTCAACAGCATTTTAAGTTTCCAGAATCAGTCATTTTTGGGTCCCTTATATGACATCTTTGACACCCATTGTATCCCACAATCCGACCTTGGTAGGGTGGAATGTGTATGCAGATCTTCAATCAGTATAACTCAGCTTGATTCCATTGAAGTCAATGGGAGCAGAGTTAGGCCCACACTGAGTGTTTTTGAAAATCCCACCCTGTAGTCACATAACTTGATGCAACTAGGACAGAAATTCTGCCCTGGGTGGTGTACGTGAATCACATTGCAATTTGGTCTTTTTAACAGACCTTTTGTCATAATGATCAGATTGATATTTGCCAGTAACCTCTTTCTACACCAGCTGAGGAATTGCCCCCAAATTCCACAATGCAATTCTCACACATATAACCCAGGGCAGAATTTTTCTCTGATTGCACTGAGTGATGTTGGACATAGGGTGGAAATAGCAAACGTGCTTTGCATTGGCCTAACCAGCTCCGGCTGAGGTCAGTGGCAAAACCCTCATTTGAGTTCAGTGGGAACAGAGCTAGGCCTATGCTGAAAATGCCACCCTCCTGATGTGTAATGGCTAATATTGTCCTTTGTAATCTGCTTACTTTCTAGAACTTGCTGGGAACTCACAACTTAGGCAGAGTTTATTACGAGCCCATCAAGGACAGACATGGCAATATCCTGATAGTTACGATAAGAGAAGTAGAGACTCTCTATTCATTTTTTAATGGCAAATGGATGCAAATATCCAAGCTACAAAGCCAGAGAAAATCCCTTTCAACTCCTGAGGAGCCAACGGCATTAGACATCTTGCTCATAACAATCCAGGTAGCACTTTGCTTCACTTAATTTATGTTATTAATTTTTAAAAGCCTGTGACTGTGAGCATTCTTTATGGAAAAGTCATATAGGTTTTAGGCCCTGATCCAATGCCCATTACAATTCATGGAAAGGCTCCCATTGAGAGTAAAGTCTTCCATTGCCTTCAATGGGCATTAGACTGAGCTCTTAATATGGATAAAACTAATAGGGTTCTATAGAAATGACTTTAAAGACCTGTAGTATATATAGGAGACTGATATATTTTCTGTAGGTTTTTGGAACCATGCTATAGAATTGTATAGCGAGGGATGTAATTCTCTCTTAAATTCTGTAGGATGACTCTGAACAGCTATAGAGAAGCTACCATTTTCTATTCTAGTCTATATGATTTTTCCATCAGCGGTTGATCACTAAAACCAGGTTTTATTTTTGAAACCAGACAAACTCAAGATTCTGGGAGGTGCTGAGGGCCCTCAACTCCCAATGAAATCCGCTCCCATTGAATTATCTACAGACCGTATCCTCCCATCTGTTTTCATGTCAAATTCCCAGTGGACTTCAGTGGTGGAATGATGCCAAGATATTGGCGTGATCCTGCAAGGTGAAGAGCACCCCCAACTCCCATTTAACATCTGTGAGTTGTCTGTGCTCAGCACCTTGCAGAACTGTGTCTATTAAAGTCACATCCTTCTGTTGTCTCGTGCACATAGCTCATATCAAAGTCAAAAGAAGTTGTGTGTAAGTGACAGCAGGATATATTCTACAGAATGATTTATCAATATCTCTTATCCCTAAACCTAAGGGATCACCTCCTCATTGGAAATACTGCCAGACAAGTTATTGTCTTAGCTCTGTCTTGAGTCTCTTCGGCTAGATATTGACTACTGTGGCTAATTGTGATTTATGGTCATTTTCTTGGGTGGCGACTCTGTGCTTTTTTGCACCAGAAGCTGACGGTAATCATACATACACATTGCAAGGTTTGGGGTAAATTAAAAGATTTCCAAATGACAATAAAACATACTTGATCTGTGCTCGACGTACTGTATTAAATATGTCTTACAGGTGCAAAAAAATCCCAATCTGGGCAAAAGTTTTATATCAGGAAACGCAAAATACAGGTCCGATCAGGTTTCCACAGAGATCCTAGTGGAAAATATTCCCCCTAATGGTTTGCACATTCCTGTGTAATGCCCTCCCTTTCTTGTATTACATGTTGAATCATCATGCGGGTATTTTGTTCATGAAGTGCTCATGAAAATGAAGATCTAATTGCACTAGTTAGAGCCAAGCATAGCACTGGCAGATAATGTGATGGTTCCAAGGGTGAAGGCAGAGGGCCAGGTGGCTTAATCCTTACTCATTGCAGAGGGACACATTACTCAGGATGGCAGTCAACTTCATTTATTAAGGTAGTCTTTGGGGAATGCTATACATAGCCCTGTTAATGTCTGCTAGCTACAGCAAATAGAACATCGGTGCCAGTCCTTTCCAAGCTCTTTTTGATGATAAAGTTCATTGTGTTGAAAATACAGTGATTCATTTGACAATACATTTTACTTTGGCACTATACTTGACAACCTGGTGCACACAGAAAAGTCCCCATTGATGTTAGTAGCTGTAGAAGATGTTCACTGGAGACTTACTCTGCGCATTAAAGAGCCCTGAGCACAGATCAGAGAGGAGAATTTTGCTTTAGGACTGCAACGTGCTTCTTAGTTTTGGATAGTTAGGGTTTTACAGCTGACTCCTACAAGGTGCTGAACACTCTGAGCACCTGATCCACCAAAACATTTAAGCACATGCTTAACTTTAAGCACGAGTAGCCTCAGTGCATCAAGCTGAACATTCCTAACTGCAAGAGGATTGCTGATGCGCCTAGAGTTAAGCATATGCTTACATGTTTTGCTGGGTTCTTAAAGCAAAAGACCTGCTATAAAACCATTATCCGACCTCTCTTCTTATCTGTGGGAAAATAGGAATTTATATGTAGGAATGTTTCTGTTCGAACAGGACACACTTTCCTATCACAAAAGAAGCCAGCAGCGCCTCCCTCCTGGCTTGTATCTGGGTTACCTGAAACTCTGCAGCTCCGTAGATCAAATCAAAGTCCTCGTACTGCAAAAGCTGCCCAACATTCTGTGTCATGTTAAAATCCGAGACAACAGCAATGTTTCCAAGTAAGTGATTTTTTTTAAAATACTCGTTAGTTTAAGACAGTTGATCAAACTTGAATAACTCAAGTGCCAAGTGTGTGAAAATATGCTCAGTTTATGTGGGCACCAAATATGAAATCTACTTTATAAACAGAAACAGAAGAGGCAGATAACTAATGATTAATGCTTATGATCACAACAGTGCTGTCAGTAATTGCATAACATTGAATAAAGAGGAGTAAAGTGAACTCAGAGATTTGCAACCTACAAAGCATTGAGCACTATAGGCCTAAGATAACAAAGAATTCAAGCACTGAGGCATTGAAGTCAGGGGACTGCACACCCGCGTAAAGTTAAGCATGTGCTTAAGTGCTTTGCTGGTTCAGGACCAGAGGACTCACCACCTTGCAGAGCCCATGGAGTATAATATTTATTTAGTTTATGATTTCTACTGTATGCCCCTTATTGACCATCTATCACGTTACTTGTTAACATTTAGAGCTAAATTCTACTCTCAGTCATAACCCCATTAAATGTATTGTTGGTTGCGCAGGTATAATTGTCAACTAAGTTTGGCACAAGCTGTGTACCATAGAGCTCCATATTGACCTCAAATGTGCACATGCTTATGTCCATCTATCTGGTATACAGAGGGCCTGATCCAAAGTCCATACTGGTTGAAAATCCCATCAGTTTCACTGGGATATGGCTCAGGCCCAAAGACTCCAATCCTGGGGCTCTGCCTGGGTCCTCCAACATGAGTCTGATGGTAGGAGCAGGACCTAAAGGCCTGATCCAATGGGAGTCTTCTCATTGACCTTCAGTGGGGGGATGGATCAGGGCCTAAGAGGGTGTTAAGTCACTTTAAAATATACTCTGATCTGTGATACCTTGTTTCTAACCCCCTCCTGACCCTAAACAATAAAATAGATGATGACTGAAAAAACACCTTTATTCAAATGCTGTCAGCTCTAGGTGCTCTCTGTCTTGGGTCAGCACTTTCTTCCTGGTTCTGTCTCCACAGTCCTCACCCCTGGGGCCGTGCATCAGTGCATTTTCTTTCTTCCTCTGTTTGTTTTGTTTGTTTGTTAGCCCATGTGGTTCCATCAACCAGCCAAGAACATGGCAAGATTCAAATATGGGCTGGACATTTATATGGATAACAAGACTATCCAGTGATATAATAGTTAATACTAACAACAATTTTACATTACATTACATCCTTCCCCTGGTAAACAGGGCAGAAACTAGTCTCCTCTATTCCCCTCTGTCATTTGCTGTTGCTTCCATCTGCTCTGCGGTGTGGAGCTTGACTGTTCTGCCCAATTCTAAGAATTCTTCTTAAAGTATCTCTTGGGCATCCTCGTTTCCTCACACCAGATGGTTTGCACTTGACTGCTTCATGTGGGAGACTGTGTTGGCATCCAGAGTACATGTACCAAATATATCCAGTGCTTCCTTCTGATTCTTGTGGAGATGGGCTGCTGGTTGGTGTATTCTTGGATCTCTTAACGCTAGTTTTGGAAGGGATACAAAACCTCATGCCTCAGGGTTTAAAACAATCTCTACTATTAGGAATTAGGCTCAGACCTTCATATGGGGCCAGATTACCCCATGCCTGCCTATTGTGGGGTTTCTTGCACCTTCTCCTGAAGCATCCAATGCTGGACGCTATCAGAGATAGGATACTGGACTAGATGGACTATGGGTTTGATCCAGTAGTGCCATTCCTATGCTCATCTGCTCTAGCCCTGAATCCAGTTCATTGGCTGCATTCAGTACCGGAGATGTCTGCAGCTGATCAGACATTGAATTCGCCAGTAAAAACAGCTGTAGACCAACGTATATTTGAAAAGACATGGAATGGAGTTCTTGTCAAAGAAAAAAACCTGGCTGAAATATTTTGAAGGCAGTTGATTTTCAGGTGTTAGCAAGAAATGGTCAGCTTGATGTACACGTGCTCGAAAAATTAAACAGGAAACTTTTTTAGGTTGGTTTTTTTAACCACAAACAAGCAGGACTGCATCATTTTAGAACATTTGACTATTTTAGGATTAAACCCTCAACAGTTCCCACATGCACATACTGTAAATTCTTCCTTGTGCACTGAACTTTTGTTATATTTCTAATTTTAACTCAACGTACAGAGATGAGTGGGAATGGCTCCAAATGCTTTCTGGCTTGGAATCGGTGGAAAGTGTGGATCATGCTTCAGACTGCCCTACTCCGTCGTTCTTCTATGAGCTCCAGATGGCAGTGAAAGCTCTCCTCAAACAGATCAATCTACCTCTGCGACAGGTATTATACTTTGTGGTATTTATCACCTTTTTTTTTTTCAACTGGTTCTTGGGAACATGAATGAAATCTAAAAACTGTATCTATTTCTACTAGTGATTACATGTTAGAGTTGCAAAAGCAAAGCAAGCAGAAAGAGTTTAACTAGGGTTATTTTCAGTGTGTTGGCAATATCAACCGGTAAAAATCACCTTTAGGATACTGTGCTTTCCTGGAGTCTTTGAATATATGGGTCTAAAACACTCAATCAACAGGGCCAGTTTTTCAGTAGTCTTCCTCATTTGCATTTGCAGGCACATGCCTTTGTATTTGTGCAACTGTCTGCATTGTCAAAACAGGCACTTTTGTACACACATCAAGCAGTAAGGTGTGCCTTTATCCAACTTGCAAAGGCAAATATGTGTTTGCCTATGGCCATGGAGAATTTCCAAATTCCTGTGGCTGCACCTGCAGATATTGTAAGCACTTATAAGAAGATCAGTTGAAAGTTTGGCCCAAAGTATACTACTGAGTTTAAATTCTTTTACATCCAATGGAAATTTGGTGCTTCTGAAAATGTAGCTCCAGTCTTCCAGATTGACTGCTCTGGAGATTGAAATCCTCTACCCATTGAACAGGGATATCATGGGCAGGAGCAGTGCAAGCTTCCCTAAATATATGGAGATATACACCTATCTGATAGAACTGGAAGGGACCTTGAAAGGTCATTGAGTCCAGCCCCTTGCCTTCACTAGCAGGACCAAGTACTGATTTTTGCCCTAGATCCCTAAGTGGCCCCCTCAAGGATTGAACTCACAACCCTGAGTTTAGCAGGCCAATGCTCAAACCACTGAGCTATCCCTCCCCCCTTCTACACAGTGGATGAAATCCTGGCTCCACTGAAGTGAATGGCAAAACGCCCATTGACTTCACTGTGGCCAGGATTTCACACAGTATCTCAACTGAGATATCGCCAGTTGAGGTGAGAGCATAGGTGAGCCTCCATAGCCCAGTCAATCCTTGGCCTCTGCTGATGCTGCTATTAAAAATGTCCATTAGGGCCAGCGGCAGTAGTGGAGACCTGTCTAGCTGAGACTGGACTGAGTCCCAACACAAATGTATTTCACATAGGCCGTTAAGCAAGCCTATAGTGTGTTTATAATTTGTGTGTCACTCACACAACGCTGCATGAAGTAGGAATTTACTGCGGTTATACAACAAAAGACACTTCTCCAATTGCGTCCAAGCCATAGGAGATATGTGTCCTGTACAGCCCCTGCGAGAGACTCTGGGTCTTTAACTTAGGCTGTAGCTGCTCATTCTTTTAGGTCTCCAATTCAGTCCCTGGTGAGTTGACTAAGATAGCAGCAGATGCACAGTTCTATGGCCCAGATTTCCTACCCTTTACTTATACGTGTGAGCAGTTGTTCACACAAGTATTCGCCCTCACTTTAGTGAGGCTGCTTGTCTAGCAATATACCACTCCTGGTGAGTGAGGGTATCAGAATCTGGCTCTGTGGCAAACTGCAGAATAAAGCAAATCTGGGCAGGTAAAGAATTTGCTGGAGAAAGGGTAGAAAAGATTAAGAGAGAAGCCAAGCTCTGGCTGTGATGCAAGAAAAAAATTAAAAACCGTGAGACTAATTCTTATTCGCAGGAAGGTCACTTTACCTGCTCTGGCAATGTAAAAGAGGCCTTGCAGTGGAACTATATTATTGGCATAGTCACTTTAAGGCCTCTTTACACATCAGAGAGGTGTAAAGTGGCCTTAGTGTCAATGAATCTAGTCCAACTTTTCAATGAAACTTTTTCTTAATACTGAAGGGCTGGGTTTAGGCCCTACTCAGACCCTGTGCCCATGCAAAATCCCAATAAGACCTAAGTACATCCCAAATTAAGACTTTCTCATAGACTTTAAGGTCAGAAGGGACCATCATGATCAACTAGTCTCACCTCCTGCACATGGCAGGCCACAGAACCTCACCTCCCCACTCCTGTAATAGACCCCTAACCTCTGGCTGAGTTACTGAAGTCCTCAAATCATGGTTTAAAGACTTCAAGTGACAGAGAATTCACCATTTATACTAGTTTAAACCTGCAAGTGACCCGTGCCTCGTGCTGCAGATTTGCGGACACTCCATCCAATTTCAGAATCCCGTGCAGGGCTCCATGCTAGTGGGTCCCCAGGCAGGACTGGAGAGCTCATGCCAAATTATTCACTTTTTAAAAAAACTAATGGAGTTCTGCTGAAGGCAGTGGGGACTGGGCAGAGTGTCAATCAGAATGCAATTTGTTCCTTAGGCCCCAATTCAACCACGCACTTCAGCACATGCTGAGCTCCATCGCCAATCAATGAAGCACTTAAACACATCCTTAAAGCATGTGTTTAAATGCTTGGATGAATCAGGACCGTAATTGTGGATTAAGGAATTTAATTTTGGATTCAACAAAGGTATATAAGTGTTGTTGTTATTTATTATTTGTATTGTGGTAGCACCTACGAGATCCAATCATGGCCCAGGTTTCCCTTGTAGCAGGCACTGTACGAATATCGAACACAAAGACAGCGTTTTACATGGCAGCTACACAACAGCCTTCATCCAACTACTATTTCTGCCGATTTCCCTTCATGCAGCACTTGCTAAATCTTTTCAGTCCTGTGTCGGGTGGGGGTGGGAGGGTGATCGCATATTTCTCTTAACCAGTCCTAAATTGAATCTTAAAGGCTTTTAATTGAATCCATTTTCATGTTTTCACATAATTATACAATCATAATCTTGAAAAGCATAGGGCATGTGATCATTTTCTGCCTAATAAGAAACATAAATGTTGTTTTCAGGGGGGTTGTTTGTGTGAGGAGTTTTTTTTAATGTGAAACATTACAGCTTTAAAGCCTGATTTTATGTAGCGACATTAACCCGAGTTTAAGTCCCCCTAATATTTATGTTTTATAAAAATTCCGAGCTTGATGTTGTGCACGTTTGCTTTAATGTTTTATATCATTTGGGGTGTTGTTTATATAAGTGCCATGTTGTAACTCTCTCCCACTTCTTTCCCCGCACGTGTCCCTCTGCAGGCTAAGCACTTCCGTCTGTATACACAGGAGGTGTTGGAACTGGGTCACAATGTCTCCTTTCTTCTCCTGCTCCCCGCCTCAGACGACGTCTGCACTGCCCCAGGACAGAATAATCCTTACACCCCACATTCAGGATTTCTTAACCTCCCTCTTCAGATGTTTGAACTCGGTATAGTAGCTTGCTTCACCTAGAAATATTAACCCAGACTCCTTATAATAAAATCACAAAGTTGTATCTGTTTTCCCCCTTGTCCCAGTGGAGAGTCAATAAATCACATGATGGCTTTGGCAACAACACTACCTATAACTGTGTACAAGTTATAGAAGGAGCATAGCGGCTGGAATATATACTGTAGCCGTCATTATTGAAATGCAAAGCATACAGCAAAAGCCCACAGTTATCAAGCATAAGCCCTAGTCTATTATGGAGGAGGAGGATGCGGGGATGGGGGGGTTATACTGCTCATAAGATGCCAAAGCTGATATTCTGAGGGCAGCCACAAAAATGTCTTTATTCTGAAGTGAGGTTGGCGTCATCGTGGAGAAGAACTAGGTCCATGGACAGATGGAGCAGTTTTCTAGTGCAGAATTATTGCTATAGATGATCCTACTCAGGGCCTGAGACCCCAGTGCCTTAAGGATGTTCAGAGCTAGATTTCACACATCAGGCCCATCTCTTTGCTCTTCATCCTGAAATATCAAAGGGCCCAATGCTAGTGTAGGGATGCAGCAAAATCCCCATGGTGAGGCGAGGAAGAATCCTGCATCACAGCCAGTTCAACCTGCCTGTCCCACTGCAGTGCATGCTAGGGTGGCATTCCACAGAGCGGGGTCTCCTGGCTGACTGACGGTGAAGGAAAGGATGCTCCTGACACACCTTTCTCTCAGTTCCCTCCATGGAGCGGAGAGGGGCCGAGGAGGAGAGCAGCCCAGAGGATCTCACAGTAGATTTCAGAGAGGGGATAAGAGAGGCAGCTACTGAGCCTGACACATTTGCTGGAGGAAAGACAGGGGGCAAAACCCAGCCCTGCACTCCTGGCCTCTTTCTGTTTCCTCCTTCCGCTCAGTCTCCCTGGAGAGGAAGGGGAGAGAGGAGCAGCAATGGGCAGTCCCTGAACCCCAGCAAAAGGGATAGGGAAGGGCAGGAAAGCGCATTGATGGTGGTGAGGGTAGAAGGGCTGCATAACTGTGTGTCGCTCAGGCTGCATTCACTGATCAAGGGGGAGAGGGGAGCTGGTATTAATTGGGAAGGGGGCGGCATTAGGAATTGTGTATGGGGCAGGTGGGGAGGCAGCATGCACTGAGCGTGATAGGGAAGAAGGAACTGGATAGCAGGAGGCTATGGGAGGTTTGGAAAAGGGAACCCCTGCTTGGGCGTCTCCTGGGACACCAGATACAGGAAGAGCTATGCCTGAAGCATGGTCTGTTTGGGGGGTAATTGGACAGAGACCTCCCCTTCCTCCATAGCCCTTCCTGAACCTGGTATCCCATGAGAAACCCAGGCAGGGACTCTCTCTCCCAAACCTCCCAGGAGCTGGGTAAGAACATTGGTTCCAAATGTTGGAACAGCTGAACATTGTTGCATGTTTGGCCCAGAAACAGAGACCCATTTTTAAATATAAAATTGTTTGGAAGGACATTTTCTCCCTGAGCGAGTCAAGTAAACCAGACTTCACTCCGTAACAGGCCTCCTTCCCCTCACTGAATCTCTACCAGGCCACAAAACTGATTTAGTGGCGAAAATTTACACATCAAAAAACATGAATGTTGCTTAGGGTGCAACACACAACAAATCACGCATGTTCCGCAGTTTGGTCATTTGTCCCATGTCTCAGTGGTTCGGGCCACACATTGGCACGCTTGAAGGTAGAGATTTATGAACACACTGTTAGCTGCAAGATAGAATATAGTCATGAAACAATAGCCCAGGTTCAATTTCTCTGTTTTCATTCAAATATATAGTGGGTGTGAATAGGGTCGCACTTTTGAGTCTAGTCCTGTACAGACAAGGGTCTTGTAACAAAGCAGCAGAAGGCAAGGAGTGTGAGAATGCAACAGATTGAACTATAAGGGGGCAGGATGTCCTGAGATTACACTTTATGCTATTTGTGATTCCGAAATAAAGAAATCAAGCATTCACGTCACAGGTGCGTTATCCTCTGTAATTCAGTTGAATCCCCAATTAAATCTATTTTGGGTTCTTATCCCAGCACCTCACAATCTTTAATATATTAATCCTCACTAGACAAGAAATTTTATCCCCATTTTGCAGATGGAAACTGAGGCCGAGGTAGGCTAATTAGCTTGCCCAGGGTCACATAGGAAGTCTCCCCAGTGCTAGGCTAGGGCTCTAACCACTGGACCATTCTTCCTCGTGGATTCAGTTCTGCCTTTGCTAAAGCTGAGTCAATTCAGATGCAGAGCGGGCTGCTCACCGCTGTTTTGACTAGGGTGGAGCTGTGTTCTTTCCCAGGGGGACGTACAGCTGTGTTATTTCCTAGGCAGTATTCTAAAGTGCCATTGGAGTCAGTGTTGTGGTAAAATAACAGATCAGACAGGTAAGGAGAGGGTAACTGAGGATCTAGAGTCAGGCTCTGGGTACAGACCATGTTGCCCATATGAGAGGGGAGAAATGAACTTGATTTGCTTAAGTGCATTCACGTTGGTTGAATTTCCCCCCTGGCCAGCGGGCCTGTACACCACTTAAACCTCACTGTGTGGTGCATAGGTCCTGGTCAGGAATGAATCTTGTGCACACCATGGATTAGTCATAGACCAGGGTGAGGCAGTGTAGCTGGGACCGCTTGCTGCATGAGGTAAGGAAATGGTGATCACTCCTATGGTGTTCTGGGCCCACTCCTCGCTGCCTAGCGAGGCTCCGGTGATGAGAATGTGTAATATAGCGGAGAGAATAACAATGAACGCTAAATTTTACTCTTTGAATAAAAAAGTAACCAATCCTATGGCCGAAAGCAGATGACCCGTTCTCTCTGATTCATTACATACGTCTCCCCAACATTCTATAAAATGGCTGTGTTTCACATCGAAAATATTAGACGCTTCCATTCCCCATTAGCTGGTGGCTACCAAATATATAATTGCAAAACCACAAAAGACTATGTTGAAGTAACATTTGTTAAAGTAACATTAAAGGCTCTGCCTTAAAACCACAAAGGCTAGAAACTTCAGCACTGAAGCTGAAACCACGGCTGTAATTCACTCAAGAGTGCAGCACATACGGCATATAGGCTGTAAGACCACACACTGTTCAGACTAGATCTTGGCAATATCTAGGCACAATGAGGGGAGAAAGCAGAGCTTTCTCCATTTTCTGGGGTTCTTGGGTTCAGATTAGACATCTATTGTTTGACGAACAAAGTTGTTGTAGTTTGATTTCCTATTTGTTCTGTCATATGGTGTGCAAAAGAGAGAAAGATATGGGGTGGGATTTTTTCATTTCTATTTTTATATTTTTGATTGGAATACAGGCACAACTACTCCTACCTCTAAGCCCCCTGCCAAATGATTAACAAACCATTCCGTAACAAGACAAAAAGTACCTCACTGCCATACCAAGGTATGTGCTATCTGACCGAGTTTAGTAAAGTACCAAGGAAACTTGAGGTCCTCCAACAAGTTGTAGGGGCAGTACCAGGTCCCCAGTAAGCAAGAGGTTATATTCTGGGTTCCCTTTTTTCTCCCTATGCCTGAGTTTTCAGGGGATGGACTGTTAGAAAGACCCCGAAAAAGCATAATTGTTCTGCCCAAATTGTGTTATTTTCTGAAATACAGGGTATGTAACTGCCGTGATCGACACTTTAATTATTTCCCTCAAGTTAGCCTTGCTCGAGGGAGAGCAGGCCTGCTCAAACTGCTGGGTCCACACTCACTCCTGTATGGCACTGGGACTTGTAGGGACATATCCCATGGTTCTTTGCACTGCAGTAAGCTCTCCGAATTCTCTGTCAATAAATTGTGGGTGAATTTGTATGTCCTTTTTGGGCAGAAGAGGAGAGTTGTGGGAAGGCATTGGAGGACTAAAGTTAAAGTTATCAACATCATCAAGGCCATGTATAGAGACGTGAAGTTCTCTGCAAGGGTGAATAACTGTCAGTGATCGGGATGTGGGCGGTCATGCCCAGTGGTTAGAGCGGGAGTCAGGAGTCGTAGGCCAGGCGCCAGAACCAAGGATCAGAGCCAAAATCAGAAATCAGAGCCACGGAGTTCTCGGAGTGAGGCAAGGCAGGAGCAGGGCTGGGAACAAGTGACACAGGAACTATCGCAGCTGTGGGCAAATGCTTTGAGCAGCCGCCTAACTGTTGCTACTGCTAGGCCTAAGAGCAAGTTTGCCAACTCTTCCAACCAATCGGGTAGTGTCGCCAAATTCATTAGGTTGCCCAGAGTCTGGCTGTGCTGCAGGCCCTGATTTCTGACTATTGAGCAGTTCTTTGTGGACACTGGTGTACAACAGGCCTGCATTTTATCTCCATTGTTGTTTGGCATAGCCGTAGGCTGGATAATGAAGCGTATTAGCCAAATGGACAATGGTATAGCATGGGTACATGGCAAATGCCTGGAAGACCTAGACTTTGCTGGTAATATTGCGCTTTTAAGCGACACCTCTGGAAAGCTGCAAGGATAGACAACCTGGCAAAAATAGCAGGCCAGGCAGGGCTCAAAATCATTTACACCAGAACAAACATCCTTGAAACCCAGACATCAAGTGAGAGGAGAATCAGGTCTTTATTATTTATTTCTGGTTCAACATGTTCCATCAAGAATTTTAATAATTGTCTAATTAAAATTTGTGTTCAAGAAGGTAAGGATTTCAGGAGCGGAATGTAATACTAATTATTTTTTCTCTGTCATTTTCACAGTTCATTTTTGCAGTTACAAGGAGAAATTTATTAGTCTGTATTGCCGCCTTTCTGCTGTCATAGAGCTGGACTCTCTGAAAACCCAGCAGTCCCTAAGGGAAGCAATTTCAGACCGGGAAGTTGCTGCTGCCAAACAAAGACACCAGCAAGTTTTAGACTATATACAGGTAACAGTCTGTTTCTGAGTAGACCAAAGAGATGTTTAAGGTCTATAATTTGGAATCTAAAAGGAGACATCGTAAAAAGACTAGTGGTGTCAACATTTTGTTTTTTTATGGAATTCCAAACCCAGAGCACAATTTCTCAGATGGTTGCTTTTATAAAAGAGAATTTTTTATGGATAAAATCAAATGACAGTTACACTAGAAGGTTATAAAGAAATGTCTCCATTTGGGTTATAGAACTGACTCTCCTCCGTGTGAGGGAAGCCAGTGACAAGCACAGGGCATTAGTCTGCCTCGAATCTTCTCTCTTATTCAGGGACATACATTTATTTCTCATTGGCAGGTTGCAAAGAAAAAAAATAAAAGTTATGTTGAGGGCACATGCTATAGGAATAGATCATTGCCAATAAAAATGATCTGAAGACAATGTGATGCAGTGACAACACAAAGAACCAGGCAGACAGGGGTTATCTGTGTGCTAGGGGTCCTTTACACCAGCGTGACTCTTGCAAACCATTTTGGTAACTAATACTCCCTGGTTGAAACTTATGACTCTTCCACAAAGCATTTATGGAGGTGGTCCATCTTCAGAACAGGGCACAGATCAGCTGTACAGCCCTTACTCTCCTGCAACTCAAGCCTTCTCCAGTTGGCATATGGGCCAACACAACTGTTCACCCCCTCTGAACAGATTTGTGGCCACTTAAATCTACATAATTATGGATCAGCTGAGCATGTCTCTGCTGATCCTTGTCGTGCAGTCAAATCCACCTTTGCAGTAGCTTCTTTGGAGCTGCCTTGGAGCTTAGTGTTACTTCACACATGGTGGCATATCTCACTGTACTCCCACTTTAAAACTGCTTTCTTCCCAAGTCCCTCCACACTCTCACACTCAGAAGAGCCAAATTGGTCCTAGTGCATGAAACCTTCTGGGGCTGTTGGGGGAATGTATGTATTTTGCATGAAGGGTGAAATTCCCCCAGGAACTTCAGCAGGTCTCAAGCATTAGGACCAATTTGCTCTTCTGAGGATGGGAGTGGGAAGGGATTTGGGTGTGGCAGGGGGAGAAGCAGTTGCCAAGTGGCAGCGAAGTGAGACATGCCACCCCATGTACAGTAAAACTAAGTTCCAAAGCATCTCCAAAGAGGCCACGGTGTATGTATAAAATTGCAGGGAGAGCTATAGATGCAGCAACTGTCCCTGGTCCTCTGGGGTGTCTCAGTTCACATATATATTCTGAAGAAAACTCAGGAGAGTACTTTAAACCCCTGTGTTTTGTACTGAATTATTGTGAAAACGTATTAGCCTTGTCAGTTTTCCTCTCAAATGAAAACCAGCTGTATTCCACCTATTGGCGAAAATATCTCAGCCCACCACATACTGCAATCTTCAGTGGCGACCACAAAACCGCAAGAGCATTTGTGTGATCCCAGATCTAAGACAGTGTTGAAGTTACTACACAAACCAAACATTGTAAAGAGCAAAGGAGTCTATATAAACGCAGCTCTGAAAAGGAGTCAGAGGGCAGCCAAAAAGAAAAATGAAAAAATAGCAGATAAGGTACTTGGAGTCTAAACCAGCATGTTAGTAAGAAAAGAAATGTGTAGGCATATTCTCCAGCAATGAAGCTGAAATTGCAATTAAGTTATAATTTATATACTGAAATGCTTCAAATACTCTTAAACTGTATAAGAAGCATAGCTCGTTAAATGTGACTGGCCAAGTATCCCAGGAGACCCCTTATAATGGTATTGGAGAGAAAACCAATTGGCTTTATGTTTTAGTGAAAATATTATCTCTCCTGCATGCAGCTAGGGGATGAATTATGGAATGGAAATCTAGATTCCTCCAAACCAAACGGGTGAGGAGCGTGCTAGCTGATCGGCCAATCACATCGACCTCTTGGAGTTACACTGAGACCTTGAAATGAGATGGGATTATCTTGTCAAGTCCCTTTATTTCTCTACAGTTTGAGGTAAAATAGGTGAAAAGCTCCACTTCTGAAGAAGCCTCTGAACCGCCTCTCGTTACACGAGGGGTGACATCCCAGTCCCATTGAAGTCAGTGGCAAAACAATCATTGACTTTGGTGAAGCCAGAATATGCCCTTGATTCTTATTGTATATACTGCTTGTTGCTTCTCTGCAACTGGGAAACAATCCTGATTTGGTGTAAGAGAATGAGCCTGGCACAAAGGGCTCAGGGTAGAATTCTGGGGTGCCCTAAAGAGTGATGCAAGTAACATAATGGGCCTAATTCTCCATTGCCCGGCGCCTTGTGCAGCCACTTGCACCAATGCCAAGCATCGGCAAAATCCTAGGGTAGCGTTGTACGCTCTGTGCCCTCACTTTGTGTTGGTGGAGAGGATGGTACAAGGGGCAGGGCAATGGAGAATCAGGCCCGATGGGTGCAATTTGCACTGCTGTGGCACTGAGTGTGCCACTTACACAACAACCGGGCAGAATTGGAGGTTAAGCAAGAAGGGCAACCAAAAGAGAGGATGTGTTGAATTGCAAGCCCTATGCAATCTTCATTTGCAGCCTCCTATTCATTGATTTCCTCACTGAAGCCCCACTCCATACCCCCGGCGTGGAAGGTACCACTCTCTTATGCACACTCACCGACTCCCAATTCAGCACGAGTTACTTCATTTTATCACTCAGACCCTTTCACTGACCAGCTCCCCCATTGCTCTTGGCATCACTGCAGAAAGTTGGCTACTGTGGCTTCAAGGCATGTCCATTTAAGCAGCTTTAGTGCTATCCCTTAGGACTCAGTCCTGCTTTATGTGAAGAGGCTGCCCTGGAAGAGATGTGGCAGCCCACGTGAAGCTCTGGAAAGGGACCTGCATCACAGGGATATTGCACCCACGGCTACATCCCTTCAAATGGCTGCAGCAGCATCTATTCAGTTGTCAAAGCACTTACATCAATTAAAAATAACCACTCCGTTCCACTATCAAAAGACATTCTTCACATTAAAAGGTGCCCATTTTCCTCTCTGCGTAGATGCTTAAAGTCACATCCTGCTATGGATTTATCCACACGCCTCCCGTTGCCTCAAGAGGAGTTCAGTGCATGGAACCATAGCACAGCTCCCATTAGTATTAATGAAATGGGGGTGAACTAGAAAGGCTTACAGGAAGAAAGCGGGGGCTTTCGAGCTATTGATCCAGTGCAGATGCTTTCCCTCTGTGCGTAATGAACCAGTGTGCTAGAGGTTTTGAGATGGGCATTTTCTTTTATTGAAACCAAAATAAAATCTAACATCTGAACAGTGGCTCTGATGAAATACGTTAGGGTGGATTCTGTCCAGTTCTCAGCCTACAGCTGCGGCCTTCATTAACATTGCCACAACAATAATTAGCCCCTTGTCAGCTCACTCAACTAATGGGTAAGGAAACTGAACTGCACCTCAACTAGCCCTGCAGGTGGTCCCTTCGGGCCAGTTTTGAGGCCCTTTGGCCCAGTCGATGGAGAAGGTCCAAGGCCTATTGTCCGTGTTGTGCCTGTTTGGTAAATAAATGGAGGGCTTCATTCTCCAGCCTGTCACTTTTCACGTGCACTAAATTCTCACCAAGAGTTTATGAAACAGCAGGCTTGATTTTAATTTTCACCAGCAGAACTCCCTTGATTTCTGTGGCGTTCTCCCCCATTCCCTGATATGACACTGGGGCAGCTTAGAGCTGAAGCAGATCCACTCTTGTTAAAAGAGGAATCTAACTTACAAACCTGTCACTTCACTCTGTTTGCCAGCTCTCATGAGGAACACTACTGATCACAGACCTGAGCCAATGAGCTTTTTCCTTTGACTTCCATGGGCTTTGGATTCCACCCTCTGTGCTTTAAAAGTTCTACAGGAAACAAAAAAAATTCCTATGTGAGCACAGGATCTCCAGGGATTTTTGGTGAAACGTCACAACTTTTGGTAATCATCATGTGAGTTAAAAGGACAAATTTAACCTTTGAAGGCACCCAAAGAGCTCCCATTGACTTGAGAAGGAGCTGAAAATCCAATATCCTGCCCTACGCTTCAGTTTTCTTCTAAACATCCACTGTGATTTCTACAGGTAGAGCCCTGCAAATCCGCGGATATCCGCTTTATATCTGTGGAAATCCGCATCCGCGGATGAGGTTGCATTGTTTACCATCTTTGCGGATCGGGGATCAGATGCAGATCCAAATTTTTGTATCTGCGCAGGGCTCTTACAGTGAGATAGGGTGCTGGTACGGGTGTGGATGTGGATACATATAAAAGGTGGAGTGCAGCTCGTGGGTCAGATACAAGTTAATTTTTGTGGATCAGAGGTGGATCCAAGTTTTTGTATCTGTGCAGGGCTCTACCTATAGGAAACTGCCAGTTGCTAATGGCTAGGCAGATGGCCATCAGGCTTTACTGTTATTAATATTTATAATTCATTTATTTCTTTACAAAAAATCTCATCCAATTATTCAGGTGGCTAGTCTACACACCATGTTGTACTTTAAAAATCTGTTCGCCAGGTTATCATCCCCATAACCCTGCAGAGTATTTGTCACACCTGCTTGTTGATGTTCCTCAGGGAGCAATCATGTCTCCCTATATATATATATGTACACATTATATATTATATATGTGTGTGTGTGTGTGTGTGTGTGTGTGTGTGTGTGTGTGTGTGTGTGTGTGTGTGT